TAAAAGGTATAAACAAATAAAGTGATTACTAGGATATTTATATGTTGAATATACAGTATATAAATATACATTTTAAGTCTTCAAAAGTATGTAGGCCTAAAATATAAAATCCAGGTAGGGGCAGCGCAAGCTACAGCCATAATATTGGCGCTGGTTCTGGTTGTAGAACAAGTCAAGTCAAGTAATATTTATTTCACTTTTGTCATATAATATAACAATTTGTAGAATACGATATATGATGATAATTCATAATAATAAAGAGAATATAAGTACAAGGAAATGATCAAGAGGCCTTGAAGGGTGAAGGAAATAAACATTACAAGTCTTCTCGGATAAGGACTATAAACCGTGGACCCAGTGTATACAGGAACCCTTGTTGCACTATAAAGGACCCAGTACATCCTTTGAGACGAGTAGGGGGATTCCCCGGTGTACTGGAACAGACAGCTCCTGTGGTGGACGACAAGAGTTGCTGGTACCGGGTTACCGGGTAGCACAGACACAAAGGGACCCCTAGAGGTGAAGAACGTCATTAATCGAGTCCACATATCAAGCGCCCTGAGCATCTTATGTTAGATGGATATGGCGCTATATAAAACTACACTATTATTGTTGTTGCTGTTGCTGCTGTTGTTGCTTCTGTTATCTTCTGTTGTTGCTTCTGTTGTTGGTGCTGTTGTAGTTGCTGTTGCTGTTGTAGCTGCTGTTGTAGTTGCTGTTGTAGCTGTAGTAAAGTAAATAAGTGCATATATTGTATTCAGCAGGAGGAACAGCAAGTGTGAATGAAATTTTAAAATTTCTCTCAATTTATTGATGTGGATTTTTTAATGTAAAATATCCAAGCAAATGAAGTTGGCACAATTTCAGTCAGTTGATTAGCAGTAATCATAATACGCTAGATTCGTTTGATTTGTGTTATTTCAGACAAAAATATCACCTGTGATTCGGTTTTGTTTTGTCTTCCTACATGTGCGTAACATCTGAAGTCACGATGGCGTGGTTTGGAGTCTTGGACTAGCTCTTACAGTGTCTTGCTTCCCTTCGTGTCTGAACTACCCCGTAAACCGATAACAGCTACTCTCGTCTTTCCTCGGAGTTCCTATTTATAACCATCAAAATATCGTAAAATAATAATTTTGCACTTATACGAATTTATTTTGGATGAGGACTTTTGTCACGCTACACAATCAACATAATTTTGTGAAAATTCATTATTCAAATTACGTTAGTAGAATGTACAATGGAAGGAGCAGCACAGTATTCAACAAATGCGTATATTAAATATAACGGAAGATACAAACGGAAATTTAACGGATTAAGATATATTATAAAGTGCATATTCATACGTGACGAATAAAGAATCAGCACATCACAATCATCACAACATTTTAGCATGTACTAATAATCCAGTTTTTACTATTATTTTTTATCAGTATCATACCTACTGCATTTGTCAACGTTATAAACAAAATTATTATCTCAGTGGTCTTCTTAATTTAAAAGGTAATTTGTCTTTCATTTGCAAAGTTAAAGAAGTAACACTTGCGGTATTTGGCCGACTGGCCTTCACAAAATGATTTTCTAAACATTATCAAAGCATTATGATACCACTCTCCTGGAGCGGATCAAGGGGGTGATGGTCGCCGAAGTCCGGACCCTTCTTTCGTGGAGAAGAGGGTCGTTTATGAGAAAATTTGCAGGCCAAATATTTTTTGCTTTCAAGTCTCAAAAAATAGAGGATGACAGTGACTAAAGACGGTTCGCACATCATTTAAACTTAGGAAAATGCATAATCATCGAGATCCAGGTAGTGCACCTCCGTTTATACCGATTGTATCTTCCATAGATACCTACACTTATGGGCTTTGCAAAGTTCTTACGCAGCATATTACAACCTAATTTACCTGTTGATTTTAGTGTTAGGGATACCTTCACTTTTGTTAATACCATTAAAAATATTAATGTATGTGATAAGTTTATGGTTTCGTTTGGTGTTGAAAGTTTATTTACGAACATTCCACTTAATGAATCGATAGACTTTGCGGTAGACTACATTTTGGAACACCCACATAATACTTTTAACAACTAAATCTGATCTTAAAAGATTGTTCATGTTCGCAACCTCTCAGGTTGCGAACATGAACATAGGCGAAACTGGCGACACTTTGCAACGCGCGTTAACGAACACACCACCACGGACAGGAACTCGCACAATTTTAAACATCTTAATAGCTCTTCCCAATGTAAAACCTCATGAACTCCAGACCTTCATACTTCCATCAAAGACAAAGATCTCGCACTCACACACATCGAAGATGTCACTACTGCGGAGAAGATGGACACATTAAAAAAGTATGTCGACATGGAAAGCCAATTACCTGCTGGAAATGCAACACGTCCGGACATAAAGCAAGAAGCTGCAATGCGGGAACAGATGAGCAAAACTGAAGAGTAGGCAAAGAAGAGGAAGCCGCTCATCTCCCATGTAACCTTAAAGATGTTTCAGATATTACATTAAACCCAACAAATGAACACATGAACAATGATACTTTCAAGGAATTAAAGAAAACTTTAAATGAAAGCTGCTCCCTGAAGAATTCTGACAACTTACAAAACCCATTACCAAAGGAAAACAAAGATAATGAAATATTACCTGATTTTGATGGATTACTAAATAATCAAGCAAACAATAATGTTACAGAACATTTAAACTTGTACTTAAATATTGATAAGGTTGACATGCTCACAGATATTAGTAAAATATTTAGTGGTAAAGGTCTAAATATCTTGGGTCTGAACATTGCTACTC